GAAACGTCCACTTCGCGCGGGGCGACTTCGCGGCGGCGCTGCTGTCGTACCGCCTGGCACTGAGCGCCCTCGAAGGGTCCGGCGAGGAGCGGCGGGACGGGACGGGCGTCGACCTCCACCCCGCGTCCCCGCCCGGGCCGCACGAAGAGGAGCTGCGGGAGCAGCGCGTGAAGTGCCTCAACAACTGCGCGGCGGCGGCGCGGCGGCTGCAGAGGGGCGCGGAGGCGTTGGCGGCCGTGGAGGAGGCGCTGCGCCTCAGCCCAGATAACGGCACCGCGCTGCTGCGGCGGGGACAGGTGCGTCCGCGACCCCGCGGCTCCCCCCGCCGCTTCCCGCCGCACCGCGTACGGCTCCCGTTGTCCCCCCCCCAGCTGCTGGCCGAGGAGGGCCGCGACGAGGAGGCGGCGCGCGTGCTGCGGCGGGCGCTGGAGCTGGACCCGGCCAGCAAGGTGCGGAGCGGGGCGGGGCGGGACCGCGGAAGCGCTCCCGCAGCGACGCTGCAGCCCCGCGGCTCTCCCGCAGCCCGTGCACGCGGAGCTCTCCCGCCTGGCCAAGCGCCGCGCCCGCACCGCCGAGGAGCCCCGCGACCGTCCGCGGCCACCGCCGAGCTCCGGGTGCGTGTGGGGCCGAAGCCGCCCCGCGCCGCGCCGCCCAGCTCCGCGCCTCACTCACGGCCGCTCTGCCCGCAGGGAAGGAACGGCCCCGCCCGAGGAACCGCGCTCCGAGCGACCGGGGCTCCGCGCCGCCCCCGCGCGCACGGAGGAGGAGCGACCGCAGCGCTCCCCGCCCCCCGGGCCCACGGGCGCGGCCCCGCGGCTCCTTGCGCCTGCGCCGCAGCTCCCGGCGTTATCGCCCCCGCCGGCGGAACGGCGGCCGTAGCCCGCGGCCAATCAGGCGGGGCCGGGCCGTCACCGCGCGCCAATGGGAGGGCGGCGGGGGGCGGGCGCGGCGCGGCGATTGGCTGCGGCCCTCCCTTAAAGAGCGCTGCGGGGGCGGGGCGAAGGGGGGGCAGTGCGGGACGTGGCGGCGGAGCGGAGGGCGGGAGGGAGCGGCACCATGACCCGTGAGTGCGGGCCGGGCCGGGAGCGGCGCAGCGCCCCCGGGGGGCGGGGGTGGGAGCGGGGCCGGGCCGGGGGCGGGTGCGCGTTCTACTACCGCGGGGCTGGGGGTGGGCGGGGGGAGCGGGGCCTTTTCCTGGGCCCGGCACCCGTGCCGAGCTGAGGGCCGCGCCGTGCAGGCGGGAACCAACGCGAGCTGGCGCGGCAGAAGAACCTGAAGAAGCAGAGCGATTCGGGCAAGGGCAAACGGCGCGACGACGGGCTCTCGGCCGCCGCCCGCAAGCAGAGGTGAGTGCCGGCAGCACCGCCCCGCGGGCCCCGCCGGGCACCGGTGTGAGCCGCGCCGCGCTCTCCGCAGGGACTCGGAGATAATGCAGCAGAAGCAGAAGAAGGCTGACGAGAAGAAGGAGGGCAACAAGTAGCGGCGGTGCCCCGCGGGCGGTGCTCAGCGATGCCCTGCGCGGCCCCGGGGCCGCCCCGCCCCGCCGGGCTCCCCGGCAGCGCCGCTCTCCCATTAAAGTAGCTCGTGGAGCCCTGCCGACCCCGCCCCCGACGTCTGCCCGGCGGCGGGGGGGGGGGGGGGGGCGGTCGGCGTTCTCGCGGTGAGCCCCGGGACGGGGACGGTCGGTGCCGCGGGGCCTCCGCGGCGCCGGATCTGCGAGCTCCGGGAGGGGCTGCTGCGGGAGCCCGGCGGAATGAAGGCAGGGGAGCGCTGCGGATGCAGTGGGAAGCGGCTGTAGTGAGAGCCTGAAACAGCGGCGGGAGGATGGGGGGGGGTGACACGCGAAGGCGACGCTCCCGCGTCAGGCCCTGCAGCAGCCCGCGGCGGCCCGCGGGGCGGGGATGCTGAGATCCAGGCGGGCGCCGCTGCCCGAGACCGCCGTCCTCTTCACTGCTCTGCGGGCCGAGGCGCGGCATCAGCCCGGCGCTCCGCCCTCGGCCCGCGCGGTCCCCCCTCCCCTGGTCGCCGCTCACCGGGCGAGGTGCAGCACGGCTTCCACCACGTTCGTGCCGTCCTTGGCGCTGGTCTCGCAGAACAGGCAGTTATGGGCCTGGAGAGAGAGCGGCTGAAATCGGAGGCGGGGGGAGCAGCTCTGGGGGTCACCCCCAGCAGCAGCTACTCACCGTGGCCAGCCTCTGTCCGTGGGCCGTGTGGACCCCCGCCGTCTCTGGCAGCGCGGCCCGCAGGTCGCTCTTATTACCCACCAGCATGAGCGGCAGTGCGGTCCCAGCGCCCTGCGACAGCGAAGGGTGGCTTGGGGTCCTGCCGTTCTACTGAAAGCTGCCCGCCCTGAGGCTCGGCCCTGCTCTGGGAGCCGTTGGATCCCTCCCGTTACCTCGATGTCCTCAATCCACCGGCGGACGCTGAGGAAGCTGCTCTGGGAGCTGATGTCGTACAGGAGCAGCACACCGTGGGCCTTACGGAAGTAGGAGCGGGAGATGCTGCAGTACCTGGAGCCGGGGTGTCACCGCCCGTGTGAGGGCCGTGCGGGGCCAGGCCTGCAGCAGAGACCTGGCTGCGCTGCGGGCACTGCTGCCCTCCTCACCTCTCCTGCCCGGCAGTGTCCCAGATCTGCAGTGTGGTTTGCTCCCCATCCACCAGCAGCTCCTTCACCTGGAAGTCCACCCCTGCCCGGGGCAGCCATCAGGCCCCAGCCCACTTATCCCAGCCCCTCTGTCCCAGCCCTGGTACCTAACGTGGAGGAGATGTCACCTCTGAACTCGTTTCTGCAGAGGCGCAGCAGGAAGCTGGACTTGCCTGCACCGCTGTCCCCTGCCAGCACCAGCCGGTATACGGGGCTGGGGGCCACGGGCTGCTCCCCCGTGCCAGACCCCTGGGAGATGGAGTGAGTTGGTAGACCGTCAGTGCCGGGGGGGTCCCCACTTCCCCTTCCAGCCGGGCCGTGTGAGCCGGATGGGGACTTGCTGTGTACCTCCGGTGCAAAGGCAGAGAGCTTCCTCTTGCAGCAGCGTTGTGCAGGATGGCAGCAGCCTTCCACCTCGCCGGCCTGGGGGTCCTGCAGAGTGGCAGATCTCACAGTGAGGCACCCGAGTCTGTGGGTCGGGTGGGGCAGCGGGCAGGGCCTGCATCTGTGTGTCCTGAGCAGGGCTGGCAGAACGCGCATCCTCTGAGCTCCGGCAACCGGCATCGCTGGATGACGCCGAGTCCTCGCTGCAGGCTGAGCTCTGCTGGGGGCACAAGGAGCCGTCCACCGGACCCGTGCCCGGCATGGTGCTCGGGGAGGGGCGGCTGCAGCTGATCCCTCACCTGTGCGTTTACTTCTCACCTGCTGTGAGCACACTTGGGGAGGCTGTGGGAGGGGGCTGCAGGGCCGAACAGGGGCTTGGGCTGGCGGGGTTGGGGTGTCAGCATTGACGGGCTCCCGGGGGGCTCTGCCGCTGCCGGCACTCGGGGCTCCGGGGGTTCCCGGCTGCAGCCCCCGAGCTGCAGGGCAGGTTGTGGGAGGGGTCCCGCCGGCACCGTCCCCGCCGTCCCGTCCCGTTCCCTCCCCCCCCGCCGTGCTCACCGCTCTGGGGCCCCCGCAGGCGCCCAGCAGCAGGGCTGAGCGCAGGCTGCCGTTGCTCTCCCGTAGTCTCCTATTCGTCGACCTGCCCAGAGCGGCGGCCTAAGGCCGGGTCGGCACCGGGGGAGGAGCGTGTCCTGCCCGATCCTCGCGCCGCCTCCCGCCCTGCACACCCGACCTACTGCAGCATCCTGATGTAGCTGGTGAAGGCCAGGTTTTCCTCCGCCAGCTCCCGCAGCGCCTGCTGCTCTCTGCGGAGAAACGACATCCTCACGGCAGGGCCGGCACCGGGGGCTGCCCACGTCCTTCCCGCCCCACGTGTTCCCCCATTTCGGGGTGCCGGAAGCGCTGGAGCAGCTCCGGGACGCGCGGTGTCACCGAAGAGTGGAGGGGGCGGGGGAGGGTAGCAGCGGGCCGGGAGCGCCGTGCCAGCGGCTCCGCGTGGGCTTCCCGACGGCTGCCGGCGTTCGCGGCACGGCGGAGCGGGCAGCGCTTCCCGGCGGAGCCCTCCCTGGACCTCAGGACAGCCGAGGGCCGTCCCTGGGAGGGCATCCGTGGGCACCCCGGGGCGGGGCAGGGCCGGAGCACAGCCCAGGGCCGGGGTCTTCTCCTCGCCCCCCGCCCGCAATGCCACCTTCTGCGTCGCTGTGCCCGCCGATGGAGGTCCTCCCGCAGCCGCTCCAGCTCCGCCCGCAGCTGGGACTGTCCGGCCTCGGAGCGCAGCACGCTGAGTCGCAGCCGCGCGTTCTCCTGGCGGGGAGAGTCCCTTTGGCTCCGCCGGCACGGCCCGCAGCCTCCCCCAACCCCGCACCCCTACCTGCGCGGCGTCCCCGAGCCGCTGCTGCAGCCGCGCGACGCCCGCGTCCCGTCCGCGCCCCTTCATGGCCGGGAGAAACGGGACAGCTGCCCGCACCGCCGCTCCGGGGAAACGGGGCTGCGCTGTCGGGCCCTCCCCGTCGCGCTGCCTACGGGCGGCCAAACCCGGCCGATCTGCCGCCGCACGGGGCCCCCGTCGGGCGCAGCACCGCGCGGTACCGCCGGGCCCCGCCGTGTTTGCTCTGCGGGCGGGGCGGGGGCCCGGGGCCGGCCCGCATTCCTGCGGCCGTGCTGATACCGCGGCCCAACGGCCCCCCGCGCCCCAGCCCCGCTCGATTCGCTCTGGGCACGAGCGGCTGCCACGGGACGTGTCCGTCCGTGCTCCGCGGGGCTGCGCTCGGTCACACCCGAAGGGGCGAAGGCAGGGTCCTGCCCGGCGCAGTGAAGCTGCGGTCCCGGGAGCTGCGGCTGCTGCAACAACTGGGGCTGGCGCCGGGGTGTTGCTGGCAATGGCCGTGCGCAGTCCCACGGCTGCTGCATGCGTGTGGAGCAGGCGGCACAGAGTCAGATCAGCGATTTATGTTAAAAAACGTATTTATGGAGCTATTTACAATACCCACGCTGCCGGTAGGTGAGCTGACAGACAGCAGACGGACCAGAGCGGCGCTCCCTGCCGGCCTTGGGCTGTGACCGAGGGGTGGCAGACGGGCAGGAGCTGCCTTCATGACTGGAGGGGAGTGCAGCAGCAGAAGCTGAGCGCTTGCCATCTGGGCAGGCTCGGGATGGCCCCTCGATGGCTCCAGCTCAGTGCAGGATGTGTCCCTGGAGCTGGTGCAGCAGAGCTTCCACATCCTAGGTCCTCCTCCTGTGCTCAGATGACATCTTTTCCTCAGCCATGGGGTGAGGAGCAGTCAAGGGGACCGGTGAGGCCAAGACCCAGGCACACGGCACGGCAAGGGCCAAGCACAGGGCCAAGCACAGTCCCTCCCAGCAGTGACTACGTGGAGACACTGATGCGGTGTGGGGCGCGTCGCCGCCGCACGATGCGCAGGGCTGGGCTGTTCCGCCGATGCTGTGGGGAGCCACGGAGGCAGAGAGGGCTCAGCAGCAGCCACAGGTAGAGCAGGACGCAGGCCCAGCACGAGGCCACCTTCACCCAGAACGTCGACCAGCTGCCATGTGTGAAGGTGGTCTCCAGCACTGCGGTCTCGTAGCTGCAGGGAGAGGCAGCCACTGAGTACTGGGGAGATACTGGTGTGTGTGGGATGCAGCATCACCTGCAGCTGGCAGGTTCCCCCAGCCCCAGCAGCTGCATGTCTTTGGCCATGTCCTGCCTGCTCTGGGGACCCCAGCCCCACGGACCTTAGCCCGTCGTGCGGCAGCACCGTTGGGTGAGGCGGTGCAGGCCTGTGAGCGCAGGGCTTACCCAGCACATGGCCACGTCAGAGACATTGGTCTGCTCTGGTGACAAGCACCTGGTGGCTGCAGCCACACAGGGAGCAGGTCAGACCTGGCTGTGTGACAGAGCAGGGACAGCCTGCGGCGGGTGCCACATAAGCAACAGGGAAACAGAGCAAGGACAGTGGGGTGGCCAGCAGCGTAGGCCCTACCTGAACCAGTTGGTGAGCGTCATCATGACATAAAGCGAGGCGAGGAAGAAGACAAAGTGGAAGGCTGAGTAGCTGTAGACCACATGGTCTCGCTCATCCTGGAAAACACACTGTCCTCCAGCAGGCTCCTCCTCTTGCTCACATGTCTGTTCCTGAACAGCACCTGAGGGAGTGCAGGGTGATGGCAGCTGCAGCTCTTGCACACTGTCCTCATCAATGCCTCTGGCATCTGACACAGCTACCCAAGGCCGTGTGTCACTACAGCCTCCCCCTGACCTGCTGGCACCCATCCTCTGCTCACCTCTCAGCTCCTCCTCCATCTTCTCTGGGCAGCAGAAGCAGCAAGAGGGTTTCTGCAGAGACAGACAGGGAAACAAGTTGGTGAAAGGAGATAAGGCAGTGACCCATGACACTCATCCCCACCGCAGCCCCTGCTTGGGCAGCACCACAGCATCTGAACTGAGCCAGGGCTGTCTCGCTGCAGGGAGGTAGCATAGATGGGCTGTGCACAGAAAAGTCCCTAGCTTGGCTGGACAAATCCTGGCCCTGGGCTGGACCTGGGGCTCAGGAGGACTCTGGGTGCTGCATCTGGGTGTCTGTGGCAGGAGGGGCCACAGATGGGGGTACTCACTTTAAACTCAAAGCTGTAGACTTTGACCATCCAGAGGGGCCCAAACACCTCAGCAAGATAGGAGGCTTCATTACTGTGCACGAGAGAGACACGAAAAACTGTAACACAAGGATCTGTGCCAGGTCCCCTGCCCACCCTTGGATCTGGCACCTGGGATCATTACAGCAGCAGCAGATCTGCTGTGCTGGGCCTGGGGACATCAGGCTGCCCATCTACACATGCCATTGGGCACATCCCCAGCTCAGCTGTCCATGCCATGGGCTAGGGACAGAGTCCCCATGGGGTGCATGCAAGGAAGGCTGAGCCCAGAAAGAGTCAGCGCTGTGACAAGCCAACTACCCTTGCCCCCCACGCTGTGGGCGCACACACCATGCGAAGAGCACGCAGGCGTACATGATGGCAGCCCCCAGGATGGCGACCGTGGTGTCCTCTGTTTGCAGTTCATCTTGCTGGATGCCCGGGAAGCAGACGGTGAGGTTCTGCCCCTTGTAGAGCACTGCAGGGAGGCTGAGGTGAGAGCAGGCTCACACTTCAGCAGCTGGCTGCCTGTGGCAGTGGGAGCACTCACCTCTCTCTGGGGGACGGCTGGACAATGCAGAGAACGTGAGGTACATCACGTAGCAGCTGATGATTGAGGACTGTAGCAGCCCTGACCGCGGCTGCTCTGCAAGGAGAGGGGTCAGAGGCTCTGTGTGGGTTCCAGGCATCCCCTTCAGCAGATCCCATGCCCAAAGCCCTGCAGCAGGGCACAGCCCATGGCCAGAGGGAGCCTCAGGGAGCTGCGTACACCCTACGTGCCTATGGCTTCTGCTGAGCTGGAGCCTACAGCCACCCTCCTGACCCCAAGATGCAGCCAGCCCTTTAGTGCAGCAGGCAACACTGCGACACGCTACGCCATGCCATGCCATGTTATGTGGTACTCACTGAGCCGCACGCAGGGTGTGATGGAGATGAAGGACATGATGCTGCAGAGGCTGCCGTTGACAGTGAGCAGTGCCTTGTTGAGCCGGCAGGCGGCTGGGTGGGTGTAGTACTTGTAGAGGAAGGAGAAGGCAGCGGAGGCGAGGGTGTAGAAGGCAGTGGTGGCCAGCAGCACAGCCAGGTACCAGCGCTTGTCCTGTGCTGCGCCCGTCAGCCTGCCGGGAAAGTGGTGAGAGCTGGCAGCATGCAGGTGCCCACCCACCCACCCTGGCACTCACCAGTTCTTATTCCAGGTGTGTGCAAAGGCAGTGATCAGCACCAGCTGGATGAGAATGAAAGCAAAGCCACCGCAAACACCTGTATAGTGCCACACTGCAGGGGAAAAAGGCAGTGATGATGCTAGCATGAAGCTGGGGCCATGGGACCACGGGTGGGCACTGGCCCGGGCAGGGTAGGGGTCACACCTTGGATGAAGCTCTCCTCAGGGAGGAAGAAGCTGGCGGCGCAGAGCCCCACCAGCACTAGCAGCTTCAGGAACCAGAACCTGCAGGGCAGCAGGTGTCAGGGAGACACAGCTCTGTGTCACCCCGCAACCCCCAGAGCACACGCAGCTCCCGGCCCCATCCCAGCCCGTACCCGTTGTGGAGCCGAGCGCGGCAGTCAGCGCTGGAGCGCACATTGAGGAGCAGGGCGGCCTGCGCCAGGTGGAAGCAGGCGGTGCCGAAGCAGACGCGATAGACGGCCGAGGAGCCCACGAGCTGCGTGCAGTCCGTGCTGCCGGGCAGGTGTTGGCACAGGACCCCTGAGAACGGCATCTGTGGGCACAGCAGCAAGGGGTTGGGATGGGCAGCACCTCCAGCACACCCATCGACCCCCCGAGCGGCCCCAGCGGCCCGCATCCCCTGCCGCTCCTCTGCTCACCTTCTCCTTGACAGCCTGAGCCACAGTGCGGGACAGCATGAGGCAGCACACGGCAGAGGCCAGGACGTGCAGGAGGGTGTAGAGGATGCGGGTGCCTGTGGAGGCGCGCAGCCCTCTGCCAGGCCCGCAGCCACAGCACAGCTGGAGGGAACACGGTCAGCACCAAAGCGAGCCCCCCGCCCCAGTGCCCCCAGCCCCAGCTCCCACCTGGCTCGGGAATGAGTGCAGGAGGCCGCGCACCCTGGTGCCCGCCATGACCCGTCCTGTCTCGGCTGGGCCCTGATGGGATTAAGGGGATTGTCAGCTTGACCCGCCCCGCCATCTGCTCGCTGCGGAGAGGCTGACAACTGGTCATCCCCCCGGCCACGGGCGGTGCCGCCTTGCACGGGGCAGGGCGAAGCGTGGAGCCGCAGCAGAGGGGAGCTGAGGCGGTGCCGGGCCTCCTGGTGCGGCGGCTGCGGGAACACAAGGCCTTGGGGGCCGCGCGTAGGCCCGGGTGACCGCAGTGGGGCGCTCTGTCCTCCTCACGGGCGCAGGGGTTGCCGCTCTAGCCCGCGCAGCCCCCCCCC